TTGATGGGTAAAAATCAACAATGTCAAAAACAAGGAATTTATAAAGGTGTTTATTACTGATGCAATTAAACCAGTTTGTGGTATCTTATGTTTTTTTCCATTGATTGAGGTGAAGTTTATTGACAAGTTCAGATTTTATATTAGAAAGTATAACTTTACTAATTCTGCCGATTTCATTTTTGGCGGGGTTTAATAAACGGACAGTTGGATTGTTTGTAAAGTTTTCTTTATGGTCTTTTAATTTTATAAAGCAATTTGAAGGTGTGTTAATATCAATTTTATTAAAAGCGTCGTGATTCTGTAATATATGTTTACCTTCTTTATTTATTTGATTTTTTATTTTTGTATTCGATTTTTTGTATGTTGAGGTGATAGCATTTGTAAGTAAGTGGGTGTAATTTTCTTTAGATATATTATATAAATTGGATGTTTTATCGGAAAAAGTGTAAGTAAGTTTACTATTGCGTATGGTAGATATGTCATCCTTTAATTTGTTTTGGAAATTATTGTAGACTTTACGAAATTTAATATTTTTTATTAGGTCTATCAGATCGTTTTCAAATGCAGTCATATCGGAAATTTGCATTTTGTTGGAAAAACATTTTGTTGAAATATTTAAAAAAAAACGAACTCAATATATCAATACAATGCAACATGAAAGTTGTAAACTACCTCGACGTCACATTAAATCTAAATGACCATACTTTCCAACCATATTCTAAGCCCGGAAATTCCTTAAATTATATTTATACTGATTCAAACCACCCGCCAAATATTTTAAAACAGCTTCCGCATTCAATTGAGTTAAGATTGTCTGCAAATTCCTCAAGTGAAGAAATTTTACGAAGATCTACTCCTACATACAATGACGCACTGTTAAGGTCCGGTTTTAATCATAAACTTTCATACCACCCTAATTTAAATTCACCTCATACAAAAAACCGTAAACGTAACATCATTTGGTTTAACCCACCTTTCAGCAAAAATGTAAGCACCAACATAGGAAAAAGCTTCTTAACCTTAGTCAACAAACACTTCCAATAAATCACAAGTTCCACAAAATCTTCAACAGAAACACCATAAAAGTAAGCTATAGCTGTATGCCAAACATGAAATCTATCCTAAATGCACACAATCGACAAATTATGAACAGCAAAAAAGATCCGCCTAAAACCACCTGTCAATCCATCGAAAACAACCATCCTAATAAAAGCACCTGCCCTCTATCAAACCAATGCTTAACAAAAAGCATCGTATACCACGCTAAAATAAGTTCAACTAATCCTACTACCACTCCTGTCAACAAACTATACATCGGTATAAGCAAAACACCATTCAAAATTCGATATGCCAACCATATAAAATCATTTATTATTCTAAAATACAAAAATGAGACTGAACTATCAAAAGAATTTTGGAAACTGAAAGATGCAAATTTAAACCTAGTTATTAAATGGAAAATAATTAAGCCGTGCAATGCTTACAACCCAACCACGAAGTCTTGCAAACTGTGTATAAATGAAAAATATCAAATTCTGTTTTCCAAAAATGAAAATCTTCTTAACAAAAAAAGCGAAATGATATCAAAGTGCAGGCATCGAAACAAGTTTCTTCTCGCCCATTTCGATACGGCCGATTAAACAATTTTCTAATTAAAAATTTGTTTTGACGTCAGAACTCATTCTATTGCTTTATTATTGTTTTTTCTGTTAATTTTGTATTAGAATTTTTTAACGGTTTTTTCTTGATTTAAAAAGAATAAAATATGGCTGATGATTGCCGAAGGGCATGAAACTTCAAGTACCATCACAAAGTTGTATTTTTTCAAATAATCAAACTCTATTATTATTATTATTATTATTGATCTATTTTGTAAACACTTACATTATATTGATCACTCTTAAACGAACAAGAGACTTTTGTATCTTAATTTGGTACAATAAAACAACAATATATATATATATATAGACGGGTTTAAATTGTTTTGATTTTGTCCGTTAATGTACGCATGCGCACTATTTGGCAGTCAAAAAACTTTGTTGTTTATCTATTTTTTAGTGGATTTCGTATAAAACTTATGAAGATGTGATCGAATTCTTCGTATTTTAATACACTAAACAAAAGTGATCAACTAGATTACAAGAAAAAATTGACATAAGGAAACGTTGGCAGACGAAAATAAGGAAACGTTGCCAGACCCGTATTCAATCGATAAACCTTATTGGAGTACAGATTTGACAAAAATACCAGATATATCTTGGGGTGACGTTTATAATTACCTTATCAATTCTACAAGTGAGTACACCCATGAAAAGCTTAAAACTTTTAAGTCTCTTGAGGCCTATAACTTTTTTTAATGACATTTATTACTATGAAGTTTCGAAAGATTGTGAATTCTGCTTTTTAAAATCAAAGGTTGGAAAATAAATTTTAATGCATTTCAATTTTATATAAATATATATATATATATATATATATATATATATATATATATATATATATATATATATATATATATATATATATATACATATACATATACATATATATATGTATATGTATATGTATATATATATATATATATATATATATATATATATATATATACATATACATATACATATCTATACTATATTTATATGTATATGTATATGTATATATATATATATATATATATATATATATATAATATATATATATATATATATATATATATATATATATATGTATGTATATATATAAATATATATATATATATATATATATATATATATATATATATATATATATATATATATACACATAGAATACACAATTAGGATACACACATAGAACATTACTTTTTTATTTTTAGGTTCTTCTAAGTCAAAGGCAAGGATAAAATCAAAAACTATATAGTGTTTGGGTTGTTCTTCATAAAAAAATTGGATATATTTTAACTGGCAATTGTAAATGCATGGCAGGGTAGGCATTGAATTAATAATTAAACCATTAATTGTGTGTGCGTGTGTGTGTGTTATATATATATATATATATATATATATATATATATATATATATATATATATATATATATTGAGGGAGAGTTTAAACATATGGCATAGTTTATTAATGTTATTTAGACATACTTTGAATACTATATAAATAAAATAAAGTATATTGAAATTTTGTTTCTCATTTCCATATTTTATTTTTAGTCTGGGAACTGTATGCAGCCATGTGGCTGCATTGCTGTTTAAGATCGAAGCATGCATTCGAACTAAAGTTCATAAGACTGCGGTGACTAGTAAATTGTGTCAATGGAACCAAATAAAAAGAAAAGCAGAAGCATCATCATTGCAAAATATATCTTTCAATAGACCAAAACTTAACGATTTACCAATTGAAAGGACATTGTCTAACAATAATAGTAAAAATTATACTGTCAATGCAGAACTTCATTATAAATTTAGGTGTAGATAAAGTCATAGAACTGCAAAAAATTATGCCTAAAGCAGCTTATTTTAACTATGTAAATGTCTTGGAACTTTCCTATGATACTGAGGGTACTTTAACATCTGATGAGAATGAAGAAAATCTATGTCCAGAACCTCTTACTAGTCTATTTGACTATGAAGCAATCAATTTAGATAGTGCCACTCTCAAAGATATATGTAATTTAAAATATGAAGAATACAAATCAACTTACACTTCAAAATCATTTAATTTTTTATCTGAAAATACTAAACTGCAAAGTTTATCTAGTGCATGGAATATTCACAGAGCAGGCAGAATTACAGCATCTAATTTTTATGAAGTTATGCATTTTAAATATAAAAACTCAAGTAACTCGTTGCTTAATAAGTTAATGTGTTGTACCAAAGCACCAAACATTTTAAACTCTCTCTCAATATATATATATATATATATATATATATATATATATATATATATATATATATATATATATATATATATATATATAATATATATATGTATATATATATATATATAAACACACACACACACGCACACACAATTAATGGTTTAATTATTAATTCAATGCCTACCCTGCCATGCATTTACAATTGCCAGTTAAAATATATCCAATTTTTTATGAAGAACAACCCAAACACTGTATAGTTTTTGATTTTGTCCTTGCCTTTGACTTAGAAGAACCTAAAAATAAAAAAGTAATGTTCTATGTGTGTATCCTAATTGTGTATTCTATGTATATATATATATATATATATATATATATATATATATATATATATATATATATATATATATATATATATATATATATATATATATATATATATATATATATATATATATATATATATATATGTATATATATATATATATATATATATATATTTATATATATACATATATATATATATATATATATATATATATATATATATATATATATATATATATATATATACCTACATATTCATATAAATATAGTATACATATGTATATGTATATTTATATATATATATATCTATATACATATACATATATATATGTATATGTATATGTATATGTATATGTATATGTATATGTATATGTATATGTATATATATATATATATATATATATATATATATATATATATATATATATATATATTTATATAAAATTGAAATGCATTAAATTTATTTTCCAACCTTTGATTTTAAAAAGCAGAATTCACAATCTTTCGAAACTTCATAGTAATAAATGTCATTAAAAAAAGTTATAGGCCTCAAGAGACTTAAAAGCTTTAAGCTTTTCATGGGTGTACTCACTTGTAGAATTGATAAGGTAATTATAAACGTCACCCCAAGATATATCTGGTATTTTTGTCAAATCTGTACTCCAATAAGGTTTATCGATTGAATACAGGTCTGGCAACATTTCCTTATTTTCTAATGTCAATTTTTTCTTGTAATCTAGTTGATCACTTTTGTTTAGTGTATTAAAATACGAAGAATTCGACCACATCTTCATAAGTTTTATACGAAATC